AGGTTCATATGCAGAATAGTTTGGATGATTGTATTGCCATTTTCTGCTGGTCTTTTGAAAGGAGCAGTTAATGCTTAAGTTTTTTTCTTTTTCTTTTTTTTATTTTTTATTTTTTATTTTTTTTTATTTTTTTTAAGGGAAGGATCTACAGGATGTTCAGGGTCTCACTAGATGAGACTTGTGATCTGCCTGTTTACATTCTCCCAAGAGCTGGGATTACAGGCATGCGCCACTAAGCCCAGACTCAATTGCTGTCTCAGCGAGCCCTGAGTGTGGGACTGGCATGGCAGGCCCGAAGATTGGCCCCTGCACCAGTCCGCTGAGCTATGTGGCCGGCCCGCCTATTACTTTGCTTAGTGAAATTTTGTATTGTTTCTAATACTGTTTTGTGGGTTTTTTTAAATCACTATTTTGTATTCTTTTTTTTGTGTGTGTGGCCAGCTCAGCCCACCCTGGGGGTAGGGCTAGTGTGGCATGTGGTGCCGGGGATCGAACCGTGGTCCCTGCGCTTTTGCCTAAGCTTGCCTAAGCAGGCGCCGTAGACCACTGAGCTATTTCGCCGGCCTATTTTGTATTGTTTAAAAAAATAAAAAAATAAAATTCCATTCATAACCCAAATTGTTTATACACCAAGCTTGTTGTAATTCAAGGGTCCACTGTAACTTTTAAAGAGCTCAAAATGATTTTATTGAACAGATAAAGGATTGTACTAATAAAATGTTTGACAAGCTTTAAGAGGAAGCAAACAATAAACTAGTTGAGTTAAGCAAGACAATAAAAGACATGAATGACCACTTTGGAAGAAACGAAAGCATAAAAAGAAAGCAAGCAGAAATGAGAATATAAAAAATTCAGTGGAAAATGTCAGTAGCAGAATTGACTAATGTGAGGACAGAGTGTCAGAAATACAAAAGGTATCTGTAACAGAACATAAATTCAATGATAACATGCAAGCTGGATCCAATAGCTGCTGGTAAACTAAAAATTCCCTCAGAATTATGGAAATTTTTTAAAACCTCAAAAGGTATAAAAAAAGTTTATTCGCTGAAATTATAGAAGAAATATTTCTAAATCTAGGAAAAGAATCTGGTATTCAAGTACATGAGTCTTATATAACCCTAAAAGCTTTGACCAGAAGAAAGAACTAAACTACAATACTTAACAACCAAAATTCCAGAGAGTCAACAAAAGGAGAGAATATTGAAAGGTACAGAGAAAAAACAAGCACCCTATAAATGCAAGTGTTAGGTAAGTGGAAGCATGAGGCAACACCCAGAGTACCAAGGCTGTGAGAAAGATCAGATTTTATTCACCTACATATAGGTAGGCTGACATTTGAGGGATATCAGAAGCTATCTGGAGGGGAAACAGTCTACATATGAATTTTATTTTATTTTTATTTTTTATTTTTTATTTTATTTATTATTTGAGAGAGAGAGAGAGAGAGAGAGAGAGAGAGAGAGAGAGTGTGTGGTGTGTGTGTGGCCCGCTCAGCCCACCAGGGGGCGGGGCCAGCTGGCATGTGGTGCTGGGGGATTGAACCGCGGTCCCTGATGCCTTGCCAAGCTTGTTCTAAGTAGGTGCTTTAGACCACTGAGCCATCTCTCCAGCCCCTACATATGAATTTTAGATTGAACTTGGAATTTCAAAGTGGATGCAGTGTTTGAAGTTAAAGCTATGCAGACAATCAGGTCAGATGTGGAGATAGAATTGGTGCCAGATCTAGTCCTAAATGTCTTTATTGCCCTTACTTGTTTACCTGAAGTGACCTATGGTTTCCTTGTTTACAAGGGAGATTTAGGGTCCCTCAGATCTCTTTCAGGTCAGGCCTGACAACAAGCCCATCAGGGTAAATGGATTTTTCAGCAGACTGTAAAGGCTAGTGGAGAGTGGAGAGAAAATTTCAAGCCATGAAACAACTGCCAGCCCACACTTCCTTTTTTTTATTTTTTCCCACACTTTCATATTTTGTAAAATTATCCTTCAAAATTGACAGAAAAATAAAAAATTTCCATAACAGAGAAATCCCAAAGAAATCCATGACTACTAAACCAGCATTGCAGAAAAATACTTAAGAGAATCCTAGTCAGAGACAGGAAGCCCACCAGTACCAAAGAGTTGAAAATGAAAGTATATATCTAACTGAGACAGTAGTTAAACAATAGGAAAAAACCTAAAGGAATCAGCAGTGGGAAAATAATGCAATGAAAGTGAAAGAATGGAAAATGATATTATATTCAACAGGAACCTGGAAACAAGGAGTAGCTAGCTAATTTTCAGATACACTACAAGGCAAAACATCAGAAGAGATGAAGATGGCCACTGCATCCCGCTAAGAGCAACAATTCAACAGCAAGAGACAATAATTATGCACAGCTATGCACTGAATGTTGACATATCCAATTTCATAAAACAAAATTCTATTGGACTTAAAAGGATACACAGACACCAGTACAGTCATAGGGGGAACTTCAACACCCCACTCTAACAATTAGACAGGTCCACTAGACAAAAAATAAACATCAGAGGTAAACCACATCACTGAATAACATGTCTACAGAGTATTTAATCCAACAACAGAATACATTTTTCTCAACAGCACCCAGGACTTTTTCCAAAATAGAGCATAACGTAAGCCATAAAGCATACTTAAGTAAATAAAAAGAATGGAAAGAATCTACAACGTACTACTGTGGAATGAAGCCAGAAATCAACAGCAAAAGAAGACGCTAAAACTATACAAAAACATGGAGATTAAATATTACATCATTGAATAATAGATCAATCACACAAGAAATTGGAATGAAAATGTTCCTAGAAGCAAGTTACAATGGAAGTACAATGTAACAGAATCTGTGGGTCACAATGATAGCAGTTGTAAGAGGGAACTGTTATAGCTACAAATGCTATAAATGCACATATTAAAAGAACAGAGCAATCTCAGTAAATAACTTAACGTTGCATCTCAAGGTCCCGGACAGAAAAAACAATCCAAATCTGAAGATAACAGGAGAAAAAATATTATAAAGATCAAAATGAAAGTCAATAAAATTGAGACTAAGCTGGGCCTGGTGGTTCATGCCTATAATCCCAGTACTCAGGAGGCTGAGGCAGGATAACTGCTGCAAGTTTGAGGTCAGCCTAGGTGACAAAGTCATTCAAGGCTAGCCTGCACTACATAGTGAAATCCTGTCTCAAAAAGACAAGAAAGAAAGAAAGAAAGAAAGAAAGAAAGAAAGAAAGAAAGAAAGACTAAAAAACAATAGAAGGGAGTAATGAATCAAAGAATTGGTTCTGGGCTGGTGATAGCTCAGTGGCTTAAGTGCCTGCCTGGCAACCACAAGGTCCTGACTGAGTTCAATCCCCAGTACTGGGAAAAAAAGAAAAAAGAGTTAGTTCTTTGAAAGGATGAGAAAGAGCTCTATGGGTGTGAGAGAGAGGAGGGAGGGAAGGGAAAGGGAAGTAGAAAAAGGATCAAAGTGTATGCGTGTGTATCAATTCCCTATGATGAATATATTTACTATGTACTGCAAACATGTACTAATAAAAACTGAAATAAAACAAAATTTAATGGAACAAATACAGATATGTTCACCTACCAAGAACAAATAATGCCTAACAAGAAATGAGTTTGTACAAAAGGTAAGCCAGGCATGATGCTGCTATTGTTACTAAAAGGGTACCCTGAATGACAGACTCACCAGGAACTCTATATACTATTTCTATTATTTTTGTGAGCTTCTAGTCACATCAGGATTGAAAGTTCTCAAAACCAACATGAATCTTTAAACAAATATTTAATCTT